TTTGAGGTTTCCATTGTGTTTAAAATAGAAAATAGTGTAGGACAAGCGTAAAGAACATGAGTTAGAAGTATTAGAATCCAAGTTGTAATTTTTGGATAATGAACCCTTTTAGTTTGGCCAAGCTGAAACTGGAAGAAGGATGATGATGATGATGATGATGATGATTGTGTAGCTATACTCCTTGCTTTAAGTGCCTAGGCTATTGCATGTTAGAGTGCTATACATATGAGATAAAGTAGTTCCCTATTAGTAGCAAAAGGTTGGAATGCTTGTAATTGATGCATATGATGTTATGGTTAATTATTCTTGCTACTGGGATTTCATTGAAATCTCACCCTCCTAAAATAATCCAAAACTTTAGGGCCTAAATCATCCAAAGGGAAGCTGCAAATTCAAGAGTAATTGTGGTGGTGAATCATGAGAAAACAATTCTATTTTGGTTATGTATAAGTAAGCTTGGTTGGTGCTGCAACCCTAAGGAAGCTGTCAACTTGGAGCAGCATTTTGACTAAGATCTTGAATGAATTTAACTATGAAATTTGGCATGCTCAAAGATTACATCTCAAGCTTCAATTTGATAGGTATCACATTAAAAATGGACAACTGTGCTATTTTTAATGATTTTTCAAAGTTAAGATCCAGAATATGAAAAAAGGGTTTTTACCAAGAGGACAGAGGTGACTTTTGCAAAAATCTAGGACTTTCTCACAAGGAATTAATTTCTAATATTATTTTTTCCTAAAATAGCATTCAAAGAGCTTTTCACAGAATTTTGAGCCACTCCATTTTGATTTTTTGAGATAAAGTTATGATTTTTCGAAATTAGACTAGAAAACTGGATTTTTACCAAATGAATAGTAAAAATCCGAAAACCAGTGTTTTATGGAATTTTTTTAGCCTAAGACCATCCAATGTGGTCTAAAATAGTTCTAATTGAACTCTAAATCATTCTAGTAGTAAGGTGTAACAGCCTAATTCCTTTCGGGAGGCCAAATTACACCAAGAGTTAAGAGGTAGCATTGAACTTATAATTTGATTGTTTATCTTACTTGCTTAATGTGTTTATGTTTATTGCCTTAAAGTAATAAATTTATGTTGTGACAATTGTTGAATTTATGACATTTGAATTGCTTTGGCCAAATACAAAATGTTATGCCAATATGAGTATGTTCTTGCTTCTTTTCTTGGCATAATGCATGACGTGATTTTATGTGACTTAAGGATGTCTTAAAGTTCTATGACATATTACATTATGCATAGCTTGATTGGCATGATAATTATAGTTCATTGCTACTGAGATTTCTATGAAATCTCATTCCCCTCAATATGTAAACAATAATAGGAATCTCAGGTGGTATCACCAAGGAAAAGGAGAGAGGATTGGAAGCCATATTTGAAGGGGATTAAGCTTAATGTTATTAAAATAATGTTTTGCAATTATATACATTGTCATATATATGTACAAATTTATATTGAATTGTTGTATTAGTGATGAGGATGCTTTACGCGTGAATAATTGGTTGAGGAATCATGGCTAAGTACATGTCATAGGATTGGAAAAGCTAGATGAAAGGAAAAAGAAAAGAAAAGGCAAGAATGGTATGAAAAAGGGATAAAAGTTAACTTTTTGGGAGCAAAGTTTGACTAACGTGATTTTGAGCAATTGGATGAATATAGATCTAAAATTTGACATGCTTACAAATCTCATTTTTAGCTTTAAAACAAGTGGTAATGCACTAAATTTGGAATTTTATACAGAAAGTTATGCCCTTCCAAAGTTAGGCATAAATCCTAAAAAATTAAAAAAAAGGAAAAATGACAGCAAAATAGCATATGAATTTCAAAAAGACAAATAAGGCAGCTGAATAAGCAAAATGACAAATAGGGCATTGGGTACCAATCTGGAATTTAGATTTTTGGCCAAAAGACCAAATTGCCCTTATTATGTTTGAAAACTGAGGGGATGGAGAAAGGCAGAAACTGGCTCTACTCGACGAAAACAAGACCCCCAGTTGACGAAACAGGAACTGCTTCCACTCGGCGAAAGCAACCCTCAACTCAGTGAAACAGGAACTAGAACTACCTCCTCTACTCAGCGAAAGCAACCCACCGACCTGACGAAAGCAACTTGGTGAAATAGAAAGTGCCCCCACTTGGCGAAACCGAATCCAAGCTCCTTTAGTCACCAAAAAGGGTTCTCTGAAATCACATTGTCACTGTCACTTTCGAAAGTAAACAGGTAGGGAACTTGAATATTGTTGTTCAAAGAGCATTTTTTATGGGTCCCCGAAGGTTAAAATGTAATTATGTAGTGATGCTCTTTGTGGTTTTGTCTCTGTTGTTCCCATATAAGTTGCTGTAGGACAAAAAAGTTGTTTCCATCTTACTACTCATGTGTTTGGTTGTGTACAAATTTGAAAATAATTGTGATTGATAGCGTTTAATCCATTTTGGCTGGCCTTTAATTGGAACAGAGGATTGATTCTGTTGTGGTGATTGTTTTATTGTGATTTGAAGGAAAAGAACAAAATGGAAAGGATAGTTTTGTCGGTGTTATTTGACTTTGCTAAAAAGAGTATAGTTTTCTATATGGAGAAGGTGAGATTTTAAGGAAGTTGAATTTAGTAAAATTTTGTCTGTATGCACAGCAATGATAAAGTTACTTTCATTTTCATTGAATGGTTTAGGCTGAAGAGTTTGTCCTTGCGTGGGTAAAATTTGCAAAGGTTATCTTGTTGTAGTAATTTGGAAAGCAGTAATTCTATTAGCTGAGTAGTAAATTTGATGAGGTAAGTAGTAAATAGTACTAGTTGGTTTCGTATTGAAATAACAACTATTGGTTTGAGAACGACTAAATTTGTGTTGGCAATGACTACATTTGTTAACTGATATGTTAATAAAATTTACAACATTAATTAGAGTAATTGATTATATTCGCCAATAAAAAAGACTAGATTTGGTATGGGAATGACAACATGTTGTGATGCAAATTCAATTGACTGGACAATGATATTGAGGTGACATATTAATGAAATTTACTACATTTGATAATTGATTGGACAATAGTTTTTAGGTGATATGTTTATGAAATTTACTACATTTATTAGTGGAATTTACTATATTAGTTAATGAAAGTGACTAGATTTGTTATGGGAATGACAACATTGTCGTGATGCAAATTCATTTGACTGGCCAATGGTTTTTAGGTGATATGTTAATGAAATTTACTTCATTTGTTAGTGGACTTGTCTATATTTGTTAATGGAATTAACGACATTGTTGTGAAAGAAATATATTATAATGAATGACTAACAAGTGGTGTCATTGCAGCAAGGAAAATAGAATTACAAGTACAAGTAGAAGGAGAAGGAGAGACAAGTGGACAAGTAAAGAATGGGTACATGTTGTTTCTCCATGAATTTAAGTTGGGGAAAGAGTTTAGGAATAGGAGAGAAGAAGTTAGGGAGGCAGCAAAGGCATGGAGGGAGTTGCCACTGAGGAGAGGAAGAAATATAATGATAAAGTGAACAAACAAAAGAAGTAAGGGACGAAGAAGAAGCAGATGAAAAAAGTTGCTTTTAGCACCCGTTGCTCAGTTTGGCAATACAAGTCATTGGTGGAATTTATAAATAGCAATGAAAGATTGAAAGCTAAGGTATAAAGTTTGGGATTCTTAAGTTTAGTTAACATAGGATGTGAGAGACTCCCTCGTGACCTCATAGTACGCATGCTTCGAGCATATGATCCGCCTACCTATCAATTTACAATAAGGGGGAAAACAAGGAAATTGATATAGAAGATGTTGCAGAGTTGTTGGATCTACCCCACACATGGGAAAAGGTAAGAACGGATGTGAATGATGATGATGAAACATATAAGAGGTTGAAGAATGAATATGGTAAAGTCTCTTTTGCTAAGATACTCAAAGACGTTAAATCTGGGGAGAATGAAGAGAACTTTGAGTTCTTGTTCATGTTGTACACACTTGGGAGTTTTCTAGCTCTTACCTCACAAACAACAGTGAGTGACAAGTTAGTAAGGGTGATGTGTTGTACTATGAATGGATTTTACCGATTTAATTAGGCCACATACATTGTGAACAACTTGTGGAAGAAATGGAAGATTATGTTGAAGTGTATAGAAACGTAGGGGAAGACAATGATGAAGGGAGTTGCAACGTCGGAGGATGCATCTACCTCTTATTGGTATGTATTTATTACCATTGTTTTTTTGCTGTATGTTTAAATAGAGTGATGATAAAGTTAATATTTCGATGTTGCAGTTATATCTTGTTGAGCGCTTCCCATTATCTAAATCTATTAGAGATGGGTCAATAAATGCTATTCAATTCTGGACTGATGAGAGGATAAAGGAGATGACAAAGAAAGAAAGGCGGATCAACAAAGGCTTATTATATAAGGAGAAGGGCTCTAAAGTTAGGGTTGAGAATGAGGAGAGAACAAGGAGAAGTGTCCCTGACTTACACCCGGTGTGTGCTTTGCTTGGTAATTTCAAAATGCATTAACAAGAAAAAGTGTTTGACCTTTTTTAATAATGTGATGCAAGAGTTGTAGAGCTTATATCAAAAGTTGATGGCTGTAATTAATTTAAGCTACAAGGGACTTGTTAGTGTAGTAGAAAACGAGCTACATAAGGTGCAGATAATGATAGAGGAAAATTGTACTATAGGAGATGAGGGTCCTAGTGAAGTTGGAGATGAATATAAGGGAGAAGATGAAGTTGATGATGGTAATGATGATAATGAGGGAGGTGATGATGATGGACAGGACTCAGGTCACGTACCTCATCATAGAGATAACTCGGACGAGGCCGACATGATTGATGTTGAGGAAGAAGGAATACAAGTAGGAAATATGGATTCCCCTGATATTTCCCCCATGGACAAGAATGCACAGCCCAGGAGATGACAGAGGTAGGTGAAGTCAACCATAAATTCTCCATGGATTTTGACAAGGCCTGTTAAGAGGAAAAAGAGGAATATGGAGGAAAAGGACAAGTTTTTTAACATGATATCCCGTATGTGTTCAAGTCAGGAGGGTGACGGTAAGTTACTATTCACATGACTGTGAATGATATTACTTATGGGTTGTTTATTGATCAACTACACACATAATGATACCGGAACACATTTTTAGGCTTTTAATTGAAGTATCTGATGAGGATATCACTCAAGATCAGCTAAGGACACTTGGAGGAATTGAGAGAATAGGTAACCAGGTAAGTTAGTATTGTGATCTTGGGCTGAGTACTATAACTTTTATATTTGATGCTCATGTATACCTGTGGAAAAAACTAAAATTTACTTGCAAACAGCTCATGTCAGTTGTGTGCAAGATTTTACTGGCCGATATGAAGAGCGAAGGAGAAGCGAAGCGACACATATTTGATACTGACTTTATGGTAAGGTTGCTAAGATGTTTACAAAACTATTACTGCTACATGACTAATCATTCAATCCTGCAGGCAATAATGGCTGTGAACCCATCTCGGTGGGATGCTAGAAAACGAGAAAAGCAGTTTTCACCTGAATATGTCGATTACAACATAGGAGACTGTGACTTGATATTTGGACCTACACTTATTGGTGCTCACTGGTTTTGTCTTGTGATTGAGCCTAAGACAATGAATTTCTATGTGCTAGACTCAATGAAGCCAAGTTTTGCTGCTAAGAAGAGTAAGAAGAAAGGTGTAGCTGATGATGATATGATGACTGTGGTCATTGAATGTGTAAGGATATTGTTACTTTTCTTATGTAAGATGCTGTTTGTTTACCAATTTATTTACAAATGCAAGTATGTGTTGTGTAGAGGGATCGATTTTATGACATGATTGAGATAGTAAAGCCCAATACCATTGGAAAGAAGAAAATGAGTGACATTATTTGGGCCCCTGTTCCTCAACAAAACAATCTGTGAGTGGTACTACTTGATGTAATAATGTATGAATGCTACTTTGTGTTTCACTCATAGACATTGTTGCCATATGCAGGCGAGACTGTGGTGTTCATATTTTAATATGGTTAAGCGAATGGGAGCCCAGTGTGATGCTTGACTACAGTGAAGAACATGTTGCTAATTTCGAATGAAACCTAATGTGGTGGCTTGTTAATCATGAGCTCAATTTAAGGCATGAAGAAGCATTGAAATTGCTGTCACCACAGAACCCACACCGAGGAAAAAGCAGCGTGCGTCATGGTAGTAAATTGTGCTATCTAAGTTTAATGATGTTTGAGTTAAAGTTATGTATGTAACGGGATTTGCAAACTGTTTTCAGGGAATGTAAAGGTGCCTAATTTTCAAGTAATGTTAAACCATTTTCCTATAATGTTACTACATGTGTAATGAGATTTACAACTCGCGAAGTGAATTTGACCACTTCTTTAAAGGGTTTGACAACTGTTTTGAGAGGCAGGGCAACTTTTCTCTACAAAAACACAAATACCACATTGAGTTTGACAAAATACATAGTGGGAATAACAACTTTAACAGTGAGTGTTACTACTTGTTCAGTGGGTTTTGCAATCTTATGTTTTTTGGGCTGGGCAACTTTGGTTTTAAAACAATACAATTCGACGCTGAATTTTGCAAAACACATAGTGGGATTAACAACTTTCATAGTGAGTGTTACAACTTCTTTAATGGGTTTTGCAACCTTCTGTTTTTCTTTGGGCAACCTTTCTTTCAGAAACCATACAATTCCACGCTGAGTTTGACAAAACATATAGTGGGATTTACAACTTTCACAGTGCGATTTACTACTTGTATAAAGGGTTTTTCAACCTTATGTTTTTTGGGCTGGGCAACTTTGGTTTAAAAACGATATAATTCGACACTAAATTTTACAAAACACATGGTGGGATTAACAACTTTCATAGTGGTGTTACAATGTCTTTAATGGATTTTGCAACCTTTTGTTTTTCTCTAGGCAAGTTTTCTTTCAAAAAATATACAATTCCATACTAAGTTTGACAAAATACATAGTGGGATTTACAACTTTCACAGTGCGATTTACTACTTGTATACTGGGTTTTGCAACCTTATGTTTCTTGGACTGGGCAACTTTGGTTTTAAAATGATACAATTTGACGCCTAATTTTGAAAAACAAATAGTGGGATTAACAACTTTCACGTTGAGTGTTACAACTTCTTTAATGGGTTTTGCAACCTTCTGTTTTTCTCTGGGCAACCTTTCTTTCAGAAACCATATAATTCCACGCTGAATTTCACAAAACACATAGTAGGATTTACAACTTTCACAATACAATTTACTACCTGTATATTGGGTTTTAAAACCTTGTGTTTTTTGGGCTTAGCAACTTTGGTTTTAAAACGATACAATTTGACACTGAATTTTGCAAAACACATAGTGGGATTAACAGCTTTCACAGTGAGTGTTACAACTTCTTTAATGGGTTTCACAACCTTCTTTTTTTCTCTGGGCAACCTTTCTTTCAGAAACCATACAATTCCACGCTGACTTTCACAAAACACAGTGGGATTTACAACTTTCAGAGTGCGATTTACTACTTGTATACTGGGTTTTGCAACCTTATGCTTTTTGGGCTGGGCAGATTTTCTGCTATGAACAATACAATTCGACGCTGACTTTTACAAAACACATGTGCAATGGAATATACCATTCACACAATAGTATTTACCAAAAATCAGCAGCCATATGACAGCAGATACGTTATATATATTCAAATGATTGCATCTCAAGTACATCACGGTAAACATTGAACCATTATCTTTCATACTAACTACATGTGCAATGGAATGTACCATTCACGCAACAGTATTTACCAAAAACCAGTAGCTATATGACAGTAGATACATTAAATATATTCAAATGACTACACCTCAAGTACATCACGTAAACACTGAACTATTATCTTTCATACTAACTACATGTGCAATGGAATGTATCATTCATGCAACACTATTTACTAAAAACCCGCAGGCCTATGATAGTAGCTACTTTACATATGTTCAAATGACAAGTTAACATTAAGACTAAACCGGCACTTAATGTTTTATTGTCATTCAACCCACAAAACATATCCCATTCATTAAAATCATATGCAAATGGGATACCTTGTCTACTAACTCATCTACCAAAAAAGTTAAGAAGGGTTCAAAAGTCATTCCGTTTACACCAAAAAATCACCATATCTATTAACATCTAACTTCAACTTGGGTTTGGATTCTTGCATGTTCTTGTTGTGTGCCCAACTTGTTGGCATTGCTACAATGGTAGATCTTTCTATTTTGGAACTGTAACTCTCATCTTTTTATTTTAGGCCTTCTTGGTCGTTGACTAGTCAAAGGTGGTACCAAAAATACTTGACTTGCTATATTTTCCACCCAGTAGTTGTTAGGATTTGACATGTCTACTGTCACTACTGGAATCAGAGTCCTCCCATAAATCTTTTGCTATGATGTAATCTTGTAGCATTCGTCAACAAATTCATGCACATTGCAATTCACAGCCTTAATAGCTGCACAGGCATGGGGACATGGAATGCCTGACATTTGCCAAGTATACAGGTGCATTCGCCTAAACTAAGATCAACATGTACAGCTTTTTTTACTGTATGGACACACACCTTACCTCCTCTATAAGGTATACTCAATATGTGTGCTGATATAACGACATTGTCCATTAATTTTGTATCTATGTTTGGGCCCACACCATTTTTCTAATTACTTATTACTATGCTTGCTGCATATATCTTCTTTGCCACTTTCTCACGATGCTCATGTATAAGTTGGGCAACATTATATCGTCTCTCTTTCAATATCCAAGCATTGAATGACTCAGCAAGGTTTGTTGTGATGTTATCCCTTCATTTAAATAGGAATTTACTTAAGGCCCACCTTTCAACATCACCATGATTAAGAAGCTATTCAAATAATTGTGGATTGAACTTTCTCATGTTATCCATTGCACCATCAAACTCGGTATCAAGCCTTGCATATGTAATGGCATCTAGGTATTGCAGTCCCTCCTCCCTTGCTTTCCTATTGGTCTTCCTCTTTCCTCTATTTAATTTAATTTGTGCACTGAAGTTTTCCTTAACATGTCTGTAACAATATGCATGCCTCTCACCACCAAATATTGCTTGTACAGCACCTATTATTGTATTGTGTCGATCTGACACAATTGTCAATTCCATCAACCTAACTATCTGCTTAATCATGTATAAGAACCATGTCCAATCCTCAAGTGTCTCTCTCTTTACAATAGCAATCGCAAAAGGTAACAATTCATTGTTAGCATCATAAGCAGAGGTTGATAGTAACGTCCTCTTATATAGTCCACTTAAATGACATCCATCAATGTACAATACATGTCTAGTACCAGCTATAAAGCCTTTTATCCAACACCCATATGCTATGAATGCACGCTCAAATGTCTTATTAGTATTACCCACCCATTTGGCCACAGTTTTGCTATCCGTTTCCTTCAACCGTTCACATATCCATAGAATAAGCATGTAAGACTGCTTAAGCCTGCCATGTATATCCTCTAACACTTTTTGCTTCACCCTATATTCTTGTTTATATGTCAACTTCACGTCATAATCTCTTTCCAAACTTTTCCTTATATAATTTGGATACCTATCTATATGATCATTTACCTCATCAATTATGACTAATGATGTCAAGCTAGCTGAACCACCATGTTCCACATGAAGATTGTCTTGAGCATTATGAGCATGCTCATTTATGAATGTTGCCACACGTAAAAAGAGAGTACTCTTTCTACCTACTCTTGCACTTATCCTCCATGGACAACCTTCAACATTACATTTCATATACATATTTTCCCTATAATTTTTCACATACTTGTACTCAAACTTATTTTCAATACTGAACTAATGTACTTTCTTCTTGAAATCTTCTGCATTTCCAAAAGTCTGGTTCTATCCTAACAACAATTCCTTCCATTTCAAAGAATTCATCTCCGGCAAAGGTGTTGGTGCACTCACTACTCTGTATGCCAAGCTTAGATTAGGTCTTTCACTGCCTCTATAACTTGTACTTTCCAAAGCATTTTCCTCTAACACAGGCTCATCATTCTGTTCTGACAATCCCAACATTTTGGAGATCCTGCATATATAATTACCAGTGTTGTTAAGAGATTTACTACAATATTATAACAATTATCAACTTTCATAACCACAAAAAAAAATTTGTCACTTACATTTCTGGATAACCCATTTCTTCCTCCACATTGTCATTACCTTTATATGCTATATAAATATGTGCAGTACGGTCATTATATTCAAATAGATTATCAACTTCACCATCATCTATAAGATCTATAATACCCTGTCATCAAAACTCAAAGTGTATTTAATATCACAGCCATGACAATCTATGTTGAACCATTATCCTATCATTGTCCTCAAATCTTCAAGTTTTGTACCCTCATTTATTACTCTTACTTTGACAATCCTACCACAGTATTTAACTTCACCATCATCATTTTCTACAAACTTCCCATCTACGTGAAAATAACAAGCAAGTCTTTTTGAAGACGTTGATACAATGTTACAAGACATCACTAGTGCTAACCTGCAACAAACAACATTAAATAAAAAAAATAACTTCTCTGCGAATTAGTTTCCATCAACGTATGTGACACCTAAAACACACTCACAGAGAGAAACTTTTCTTCTATTCGCAACTTTATTATAAAGTTTCACAACTCCATTATTGATTTTAACAACGTTCACTACCTGAACACAAACTTCACGCCCATGTAATTGCTTGCCACCTTTTTTGATTTCCGCTATGTCATTCCAAATACTCAATATAAAGTATAAAACCTCATCTCCAACACACCCGTCCCTACCATTGCACCATAAAGCAACCATAAAAAAGAACTACCTAAACCACACCATCATGTAATGCAACATGTTCACTCTCTTTCTTACTACAAACCCTCTTGCCCACAACCAAAATCTACTAAATCAGCAATCCCAACAAAATGGTGATGCAGAGGAGTAAGATTATACCATTTCCAAAGACCAGTGACTTAAACATACCTCTTTTCAGCTTTAATGTGTTGCTCCAGCATTCTTCTGTCCTTCTTCATATACTGCTCAACCGGTTGCTCTGTTTATTTTCTCATCAGTTTCAGCTTCCTTTTACCTCACTCATCAGGGCAATTCGGTCTTTTGGCCAAAAATCTGAATTCTAGATTGGTACCCAGTGCCCTATTTGTCATTTTGCTTATTCAGCTGCCTTCTTTGTCTTTTTGAAATTCACATGGTATTTTGTTGTCATTTTCCCATTAAAAAATGACTAAATGAATAGTACCACTTTGAACAAAATTTGAGATTTGTGCATGAGATCTAGATACCAATGAATATTTTTCCTTTAAAGAGGATGTCAAGAGCTTTCCATAAAACTCAAAACTGCTTCATTTTGATTTTTCTACAATTAGTTATGAATTTTCAAACTTGACAAAAATTTCAGTGAACAGTAAATAGTAACTCGAAACCATAGTTATAATTTTGAAATTTTCTCATGCTCAAGACTTGAATAATGGTTCTGAATGGTTCCAATTGTTATATAATGAGGTGATAAAGGAGGTGACATATTATGTGTGCAGTTGGATGGAAGATGAGATATAAGGAAAGGACATATGGCTTGATGATGTAAGCATGATGTAAGCAAGATGATATAAGCATGATGTCATGAGGACACATGTCATCATAAGATAAAGGAAAAATGGATGGCCAAGATTAAGCTACACATACATAAGATCAATGGCCAAGATTTAAGCTTGCTTTTATATATACCCCTCACCCTCCCTTTAGGCCAAGTTTCAACTAAATAAGAAAGAGAAGAAGAGAGACTGAACTAAGCAAGGGTAGAAGGAGAAGAGGAAAAGAATTTAAGAAACGTATTATATTACATTATGTAAATTGTATACCCATGTATGTTATGAATATGCCTCTCAATGTTATGTGATGTTAAATAATGATGACGGCAATTGGCTATGATGATGTATGCAAAGGGTTAATACATTGATGGAATGGTGATATGTTTGAAAAGGATTAATTATGAATTATTAATGTAAGTAAGGGGGATAAGTTGCCCCTAAATGAGACATAAAATTGTGACAGAGTGGAAGTAAGACAAACAATTGAATCTACCTATGAAATTTGGTATGCCTAAAATACACATCCTGATCTTTAAAACAAGAAGTAGATCACTTAAAATGGATGTGTGTGCTAAAAGTTATAATTGATCAAAATTAGGGTAGAAAAACTGGAAAGTACAATTTTTACCAAATGAATAGTAAAGGTCATACAATAAATTGTATAAATTGGCAAGGGTTGAGTCTAGTTTTGTATTTTTCTATAATTAGTTATAAATTTATAAAGTTGGACCAAAAATCTGGAATTAACCAGTGAATAGTAACATAAGTAAAAAGTTGCAAGGTTTCAATCTATGGGCTTGTTTCATAAACTGTTTGAGTCGTAATGCTTCCAAATGTGTACAAAAAGGGGTCTAAGGAAGGATGTTTCATTAGGTAAGTAATAAAGGACAGAAGCATTTTTTTAAGAAAATGATTATTTTAATAAGCTAATTCAAGTCACTAAACAAAATTGAGTATTTAAAGCATAACCCTAGACTATAAATAATCTACATGGAATTTGAAAATAATCACAATATTTCTACTTTGTTATATTGCTTACAATTAATTGTGCCTATTTATTCCAATAAATCCAATTGAATAATTGAATGCCCTTACTCTAAGATTACATTTTTTTTTCCAACTTTTGGAATGAATCCTCTTAGATTTGTCATGTTGAAACTAACTCTGATAACATGAAGGGTCAATGATAGCAATATGGAGGCTATAAAACCCAAATAGCACTTATTCAGTTAGAGATTCAACAAGCCCTCTATAGTGTTCAAGGGATTTATAGCTCAAGAATGCTTACATGGAAGAGGACATGGATCATTATTGCTTTGATGATGAAATGGACAATTACATGTGCAAAGCTTGCGTGGACATATGATTGACCATCCTTAAGCCACTGTGGCAATTTAATCATTAGTGTTTGGACACTTGGATGTTGAGAAAGTCAGGAGCACATTCGAAGAGCCCAAAAAGAAGATTTGAACCCAATTCCCACATTAATAAAGGCCAAATACAATTATATATGCATGGAAGAGTACATTGGAGCTATAGTGAAACATCCTACCTTTAACCCTTCAGAGTGCGTATTAGTAAGCGTTACGGTTCAAGTCATCATACAAGCCTGTGGATTTAAAATTTCAACATAACTACTCGGATTACTATTCACTATTTAAATTCAGATTTCAGGTCCAATTTTGAAAACTCATAACTAATTCCATAAAAATCATATCTCCTTGTGTACACATCCAATTAAGGTGATCTAGCACTCATTTTAAAGCCTAGGATGTGTACTATAACTCTGCCAAATTTCATGGCTTAACTCATTCATTTGATAGGTCAAACTGGAGCTATAAACTCACTGCTTCAAGACCTACTTTTTACTTTAATGCTTTCTATTTCTTTGACATACATAAATTGGGTTTACACTTTCCCAATCATCCTAATATACTTCTATTCATCCCATAAACATTGTAATTAAATACATGGCATCATTAGCATCCATAATATAAATTACATAATAGGAGAATTACACATTGAATAATAACATCATTCATTAACGTCAATAATTCTCCACTTTCTTCTCCTTGCCTCTCGTGCCATTATTGCCCACCATTGATTGACCTAAATGGTTGGTTAGGGAGGGGTGGGATTCGGGAGAATCTCAGTAGCAAACACTACCTCTAAGCATGCAAGACATATGCACATGCATGACGTGTTATAACATTAACACATGAATGCCATGGAAAGTAAGCTAAAGCATTTCATACTCTCATACATATTGCCAAGGCAAAGCATAACATAAACTTGCAAATATAACTTTGAAAACATTTTATCATAGCTTAGTCACATCATGGCAACACAATGATATATCAAGCACACAATATAGGTAAGTTCACTACCTTGTTACATAGCTTTCCTCTTGCTTTTTCTTTGATTCCCTTGTCTTTCAACCCTATAGATTTTCGGTCAACACCATTAAATATCCTCTTGGATGTTCCAAGATCCTAAACACATCAATACATGATGCAAAATGATTATTAGAATCAAGTTATCAACTTATCTCTACTTGATTCTTTCTTGAACATACTTGAACTCTAACTTTTGAGTTTCAATTCCAACCTTCCCTAAAATTATTTCCACATATTATCCCCACATAATTTTGTATGTAAAATCCATTTCCAAGCTCAAAACAATCAAAATCCAATCCTAACTATTTAGAATAGTTAAGGCCGAACAGAATCACAAACTAAAGGAAAGTTGGACTTTTTGCAAAATCAACACAGAACCACTTGATTCTTGTTGTTTCCAAGCCTTTAAATATGCTTTTAACATCCATATCATCTTCTCCTATTCCAATAAATTTCGCACAGCACCTCCCCATAAGATTTCAATCATCAAAAATCCAATCAAACCAACCACCAGCTCAAAAATAACAAGGGAGGTAGAAACTACATCAAAAACGACACTCGTACCTTGTTTTAGAGCTTGATCTGGCTTAAGATCACTTGGCCTTTCTTTCTCCCTCTTCTTTCTCTCTCTATACACCATTTTGCAAGAGCTTCCCTATGGGTTCAAGGTGCTTGGACGAAATGGAGGGGTGGGGAGGGGTACTTATAGAAAGCTAGAACAAATCCTAGCCATTGATCTTTGTTTCTTCTC